GCGGGAGCTCGTCAAGGATAAAGCCTTGAGCTTTAACGCCCCCCACCCCCCCCAGCCCAAAACTTCCAAGCATAAACCAAACGGCTTCTGAGGAGAGGGGGCGTCAGGCTGCAAAACTGACGGACGTACCAGGTACAGACTGCTCCCGTCGGAAACATTAAACGCCACACGAGTGAACTGGTTTCCTAGCGTTTGAAGCCCAGCTCCTACCGCTACTGCAATTCAAAACTTTATGAGCCAAACTGTAAAACAGATAAGCGGGCGGTATGATGTCAGAACAGGAGAGAGATCTTTTTTAATTTTTCAAGCGTCTCTACAAGAAAACCCAGTAAGTGGATCACAAACGCAATACTCTCCAGCATACGGTGGTAAAATCTGAGGCACTGACCTAAACGCTTTTTAAAAGCCTCTCAAACCAGAGAAGTGGCAGCTGCACCCGCAGTCATGCGAGCACGCTGCCCCTCCAGCAAGGGGCCCTTACCCCCTCACGGGATAACTCCCGGCACCGAGATTACAGACGCTGCTCGAGGATAAAGCACCAGCACTGCAGATATTTTCAGTCCTTGGGAGACAATTCCATTGCTTTTACCAGTGGGGGGGGAGGGGAAAAGTTAAAACCCACCCTAAATTTCCCATTCGGCTTCAGATGATCACTCCGTATGTTACCAACCTTCAGCAGCCAGCAAGTGTACTTTATTCTTTTTAGTTTCTTAAGGATGTGATTCTCTCTTTTCCCTCACTCGGATACTTTTCCAGAGCAAAGTAAGTAAATACCCTTATTTAACTTCTTCTAAAAGAAATACTTGCACGCATTAATATTTTATACCATACTGATACCTGACATCCCACAGAAACTCACAGCACAGCGTATTTATTTATACAGACAGCATCCATATAAAAATGTTCTTTTTATATGAAGAAACTTCAGCTTTTAAGCCTGGATCATAAGTTCAATGTTTCTCATTTGACAGTTTTAACTGTGCTAACTGGAATACACATTAAAGGAGATTCAATAGAAAGCTAGGAAAGGTTTGCTATTTTTCTTAAGATATCTTAAGATAGGTGATGACAGTGTCATACAACCATTTTCCAGAAAATATTCAGGTTCTTTCTTTCCATATACAGTGAGTTTGTTCTACCTGTTGGATTAAGACTCGTTATAACTATTTGTAAAGTTTATCAAACGATCGTAGTTTCACTCCTTTAATTTTGAACACGTAACTAACTCGCTATCTAGCAACTTACTCTGTTACGTTAAGAGAAATTCCTAAAGAGTAGAAACAAAAGACTACCCAGGGATGCCAAAGAACTCTATGTGGCAGTACAGAATAAGAAAAATTTAAAAGTAGAAAGATACAAAATGATGTTTTTAAAAAAAAAAAAAAAAAAAGAAAATCACTTTTTTTTCCCTTTAGAGGGCTTTGCAAATAAGGCAGGATCGATCTGGTCTCTAGACAGACCTCTCACTGAAAAAAGCCTTGCTGCTCTTTCCTTTAAAGTGCCTCCACATTTCAGCCCTAAAGACATCAATTCCGCCTTCAGTTTATCTAAACCCAGGGCTTCCATTTCAGCAGCAGAGTTGAATGCCAGTAGGTCTATCGGTTCCACCTCCTGCAAAGAATAAAACATCACATCAGACTATTTTTATTTTCTTCCTGATTGGGGGGAGGAAAAAGTATAGACAGAATGCTTCCTTTTGCAGAAGACCTTCAATTAGGATTATTTCAAACTCCTAATGACTTAATAAAGTTGAGCAATGTCTCCATATGTATCATGTTGGATATTCTCATTATTAGCGGTACTTATGCTACCCAGCCAAAGTATTACTGCATCATGTACAAGCGAATTGAAGCTAGCTAGCAGCCTCGTCGTAAAACATGCAAATCTTAGCAGAGATAACACACCCAAGAGCGGGGTGAATGCCCAGGTGAGCTTTGTACCCGCTGTCCAACTGTGCTGCTACAAGTCTACTCCTCGCAGTGCCTCTGCTAGCTAGTTAAAGGCTTGCTCTAACATGTCCAGACAAGCTGCAGATGTGCTTAGGCTTGCAATGTACATAGCCTCCAAGACAGAAGCACTGGTTATTTTAAATGATGTAAACACCGCTGAACTTTTAAAATTATTCCACTAGAATTAACACATTCTACTTGCAATAGAGGAGTGCCGAAAAAGTAAAATAAAAAAAGTGGCAGTATTTAATCCTATTCCTCTGGAGACAAAACAGTCGATACCAGTTTTATCCCCAGGGAAGTTAAGTACTCCCAAGAAAACCGAATTGAAAACAACAGCCCACCATCTCGCCTAGCAGTTCAGTAGCTTAACCTTGGCTTCCAGAGGCACGGCAAAGCTAACAGCCCCTTTTTAACCCCATGTAGAATATAACCAACACGCCCCCAGCAGTAGCAGGAAGGAGGACGAACAGTTATTTCTAATGCAGTTACACTGTAATTATAGAAATAGATATAAAAGCACCCTCTTTTTATAAGAGTAGCCAAAAAGCAAGTTCTGAAGTTCACATCTCATCCTGCCACAAGAAAATGGATTAAAATTTCATCTTAAAAGGAAATCAGTATATTTGCAGAATAATTGAGGGTGAAAGGGACCTCTATAGATTGTCTAGTCCAAGCCCAGGGCCTTGTTCACAAAAGAACATGGACAAAGACTGGACAATTCAAATGCTGGAACTTACTAACACACTAAACATTAACACACTAAAAAGGACACAAAAATCTAAGCCCATTTCGTTCAATACTTAAAAGCACATATTAGTCTTATGGTATGTATCATGATGGAGTTATCAAAGAGACTTCAGAGCAAGTAATACCAGCAGCGGGAATGAGACTACTCCGTTATGAACTCAGCAAAAACAATTAACCCGAGCAGAATTAGAACCTTTGTCCTGCTAAGCATACAAAAAAAGACTGGTTGCCTCATTATTCTCATCCTACATTTAAAAAAAAAAAAATCCATCAAGGACTATTATAAAAATATTTCCACCTGCAATAACAATCTGCCACAGCATTGGTGGAGTTTCCTGTTCTAGGAATAGACAGTCTCACAAATACCGAGCAAAAGGTAAACAGTGAAGAACGGTAAACATCCTGTTTAAAATTTGCCAGCTCTTAACAGTACAGTAGATGACAAAGTTCTAATTTATCAGATTATATCCTTGGTCTTTTTTCCATTTATCTGTATTAAACTTCCACTTAACTAGAATTCAGTCATTGGCACTGGCAGCTGATGGCAGACTTTCTGCTCAAGCTGAAAAAAAGGCAGAAAATCCAAGCAACTCCCTAGCCCGAAAAAAGCACCACATTTTGTTTTGTTGCTAGAATAAGCCTAGATTCATTACCCCTAAAAATTTTTAATAGCAGTATTATGCAAGGAGCAATGAAGCACAAATATTGGCACCTTTTACTGCCAAATATTAGTTGGGCTTTCATCAATTCAGTGGGAAAAGCTACATTCTCTCTTGGCTGGAAGACTGATCTGAAGCCTCTTCAGGAAAGGAATCCCAGCCATCCTCCTGCCAATCACCAGAGAAGGAACCTCATGGTCAGCGCTGCTCCTGATCTGGCTGTGGGCTGCGACACCAACCCAGACTGCCAGCAGAGATAATGGCATGGCAACAGTACAGACCTGCTTCCACCACGCATACGCCAGATGATCAATTTTAAAACCACTCTTCCACCATCCTTTGCAGTTCAGATGAAGCTCATCATTGATAGTAATCCTGTCTCTCTAGTGAAGGAGCTGCTGCTTTCAGACTTCGATGGTCAATGAAGAACTGAACTTTGCACCAGACTACTAGGGTTCTCTACGAACTAGACTCAAGTCCTTTTACTATAAAAAACTTAGAAGACTGATCGGCTGATTGGTTTAGGGGACGTCCACTTGGAACAACTTCTAAGTTAAACATTGAGGTCAATTATAACATTAAGGTCAAATGGTATTATAAATAAGATTAGTCAAATTGGACAGTGTTTGGTAATGTGTCAAAAAGTATTGATAAGAGTCTTTCATCCTATGGAAGGGTTTTACTTTTCTTTTTTGCCCCTCAGTGAAGAATTTTGGATCCAGAGTGTATCTATTTATATAGAAGGAGAAAAAAAAAAACCCAACAAAAGAACCCCAAGAGAAACATGGATCTCAGGAAAGACAATACCCAACAGCCAAGGGCAACTGCATCTTAGTAGAAACTCTAGACTATTAAAAGCTTAATCTGATAAAGTTCTTCCCTGAACCATTCTACTTAGCATCTCTCAAGACAATGCTACCATACTACAATTCAACTTTCTCCATGGAGACACTGTCAACCAAGAGCCTCCTCTGACTGCCGTTTCCATTAACTCGCTACATTCCATTTTCATAAGTCGTACGATGCATCTTCAGTTAAGCTGTTTTTCCTTTTAACCTTGGGATTTTTTGTGCTCTGAATCAAACTCTGGAGATTCTATTAGCTTCTTAGGGAGACTACGATTCTAATTCAAGCACGTACATCTAATGCACTGAAGTCATAGGATACAAATCCCCTCCCCTTTTCTGCGATCCACAAAGGGAAAAGTGATTGAGTAAAAGCAGCTGAAGAAAAAGACGTAACACATTTTGTACTGCTTCATACTTACTGTGCTCTGTAACTGGTTTGTTTCCTGTGCCTTAGAAGAAACATTTTCTTGCTCCTCTTCTTTCAGAGCTTGGGTTACTTCATTGTTTTCTTGGGCCTCTTCCTTCAAGGGCTTTTTCATTTTACTGTTTTCTTCAGCTGGCATTTCAGTTTGCCCACCTGTGTGTGTCTCTCCTTGCGGATCTCTTCCAGTACCTTCTGGTGGCTCCAGTGGTTTCTCAGTTGCACTGGTAGCTGGACTATCTTCTACCGAATCCAGAGAGCTGCTTGAACATTCATTCGAGTTTCCAGGATTTTCATTGTATCTGCTGCCTGACGGACAACTTCCGTCAGATGCATGAGGGGAGTCATCTTCACTGTCATCCTCGCAATCCGAACTGTCAGGATCATCCAACCCTTCCAATCCCAGCCTGGCATAAGCAGTACATTACAAATGAATGTTCACCTATTTTCACTTTTTTTTTTTTAAATTATTTTTATTATACACTTCTCTTTCCAAAACTCACTTCAGAGAGCTGCAGTGAACTACTCCAGCAGCTAGTTAGGATAGTTTAGTAAATGGAAGAGCTGCTAACATTAAACAGGACCCAACATCCTCCAAAAACAGGTATTTGTTTATAGCATTCCCAATACAGAAATGTGTGGTGATATTAAACAGGACCCAACATCCTCTGAAAACAGGTATCTTTTTATAGCATTCCCAATACAGAAATGTGTGCTACCTATTGCTATTCCAAACACCACTGGAATCATTAAGGCTTCTCCTTCGTGTTACATAAGGTGAAAAATGCCAGGAAATTCCCCCCCCCCGCCAAGTTAATTGTAAATCTACTTCATTAATGAAAAAAAAGGACAATGGGAGGTAGTAGAATATAACCATATTAGAAGAAGCTGGGGGGGCGGGAAGGATGTCTATTTTTGCAGATAAAGTTTGTCTGCTCCAGCTGGGACAGAATTATATAAACACAGCAACATTTACTTTCAGTTCTCCGATTTAATTGGTTCAATTTAATTTTACTATTTAAGTCTACATCTCAGATAAAATGTTGCTTACTTGTATGTACCTAACCTGTCATCCTGTCCAAGGCTTAATACTCGAGTATTAAGTACAGAGAGAGTCGTAATGCTTACCAAAAACATCTTCTTTTTTGAGATTTTGTTCCATTCTTTCCAGATTCACCGGGACGCTTCCGACTATTGCCACTTTCCGGCGACACTATTTTGCTTGAAGTGGCCTGCAATCCTTCAAAACAAAGTTAAAAGTCTACATCGTCAGTACACAATTCACATATGTTGTAAATTCTACTTACCTTTTAATTTCAGATGCAATTTAAAACACCAACTGAAAATAATCACTATTAGTGCACATTTATGTAGACTCAAAGCTTCACAAAAACTCAGTAGCAGCAAAAGCTTTCCCACACTGCTTTACTAAGGCAGAGAGTCAATTAAAATTGGATTCCTGAACTGAACTCTCAGGTTCTACACCCCGTTCAGCCTCAAGTTTCACTATCAAGCTGCCAGCAAGGGAATAATCCGTGGATAAATAAAACAACTACAAAGAACAGTTAGTGAAACAAGGTATTTTGTAGTTGGATTCAATTTCTAGTTTTTACATAAGACCTGTTTATATATTACCATTTCATTGAAAATGATTATGTAATTCTTACAGCTGAACTAGCAACACTACCTTCACAGAATTTTGCTTTTATTATGACACTGTAGCACAGCAAGATGAAGCGTCTGCGTGAAGTATCCGTGTTAAGCTGTTCAATGCAATTTAAGAGAAGCAGTAGCCAAAAAGGAAAAATGAATTCCAACAAATTTTACTGGAATTTAAAATTTCATTTAATTGAAAGAGTTATTGACAGCAATTTTTTTTTTTAAATTTTTTTTTTTTTTTCCCGAGTGAGGCTATAGGGTTTTTAGTTTGCTTTATTTTTTTGAGGAGAGAAAGTGAGGTTGAACTGTGGTACCTTTAAGTACTGAATCTTCTAGTCGCTCAGCCATTTCATGACACTGCTGCTGGTAGTCCGGATTTGTGAAAAAGTGCTTTGGCTCCGCAAGTTTCCGCTGCAGCCTTTCCAAACGCCTTTGCTCTTTTTCTGCTTCCCGTTCTGCTTGCTGCTTCACCCATTCAGCCATCCTGCAGATGACGGAACCAGGAAAATGAGAGCGTTTCCAACATTTAATGTAATATCAGTTTGTTGCTTTGCAATTACTGAATGCTTCTACCACCTGCTAGGATGGGAGCCAATGGAAAAAGACGACTAACAGCACCCAGGGGAATTACTGAAGGAATATATAGAGATTCTGCTACAGAGAAGAGGCTAAAGTTTATTTTGGAAGCCAGAAACAGCAGTAAGGTCACATATCCCCAGTATCATGGTCTTGCAGCTTCAGAGAGAACAACGGTGAGAATTCCAGATGAGAAATCTAAGAGGTGCAGAACAGTCTCTCAGAAGCAGGCTGCAGTACAATCACCTCTACTTCGCAGTAATATAATTCTAGTCAGAAGAATCCTGTTGGCTTCCAGTCTATCTGTGCTTAAGATTTCACTTTTGCTCTTTTTAGTATTCAAAATAAAATTTCATTGCTACAACAGCCTGTCATTTGAACTCTTTTGTTAACAGTGAACTACATGGTAAGTTTACTTTATAATTCTAGCTTCTAAGAAAATGCCTTACGCTTTTTCGTGATTGACATCTCGAAGTCTCCTTCCACTGAGATCTCGGCAAGCCTCTCTATTTGTTGTCTTTTCAATCTGAGCACCAAGGGCTCGCAGCATAGATCCAAACCCTGAGAAAAAAAGTAATCAAGAATTAGCTAAACAGAAACAAATGGAGATGAGCTAGTATACAACAAAATAATTAATTATGGAAAAAAAATACAGTGAATTCAACACTTTCCTCTCCCTCAGTGCAACTGAAATAAAGGGTAAGTTGAAAGTTGCAACATGTTGGAGAATTGTCATGGGTGAAATGCTGGAACATTAAGTGAAAGAAGGTACCCAGCGTTTACCACTCATCTTGGTTTTGCGCTCCTGATTCCACACCAGATGGACTCCAGATTTACTAGAACCTGTGCAGCACTCCTAACATGAAAGCCTATTTCTGGACTCCCCCAGCGAAACAGTTTGAAACCTTTTTCATCTCAAGATAACATTTTGGGTCCTTTCTAATTTAGCCAGGATATACCTCCCCCTTAAGCCCCTTTAGCCCCCACCAATCTTAAATCCCCTTTTAAAAATCTAGCAGAAAATAAAATGACTTTTTTAGGAGATAGCCTTAGCAGCTTCGTCAAGATGATCATGATGTACAATGTTACGCTGCAGAGTCCCCCAAAACAGATTTCTATATGCTTCTCAGCCACTAATTACTCATAGGCAAGGCTGCCGATTTCTCTCTCCATCAGTCCCACCCCATGTTTCTCCAGTTCGAGAAAGACACTTGTTTAACTACCTCAAAGAGTCTCCAGTTCAAGAAAGACACTTGTTTAACTACCTCAAAGAAACACAATGTGGAAGCACTGTCTTTTAACCAGAAGCTGAACAAATCTATAGTTTTTAGTGCCCCAAAAGCACCTTTAAGAACTATTACAAACCAATCCAGACAACCTACTGTATCATGAGGCAGAAAAAGCATTATGTTCAGCTAGCAAAACCAATTGCTGCCATTGGCAAGGAGAATTTCTGTAACACATGAAACATGCTATTGAATTTTACATTCTGAAGAATGTGGCCCTAGCTGCTACACCTAGCCAGGAACGCTCCCCAAATCAACAGCAATGTATTCACTGAGGTCACAGGTGCTGAATTAGGTCTGATAATAAAATGCTCAGTTCTCTTCTAAGCCAGCATGATCTGTAATCCCTTGAGATCATACAGTAAGTCTCAATAGCTTTGACCTGTTTCTTTGACTGTTTTTATCACACTTTACATTATAAAGTCAAAACAAAGGGAACACTTTAGAATCAGATGAAATTGCTAAAGAACAATTTTAAACTGACCCCAACGGCACATCAGTAACACAGAATGAACCACAGAACACGTATCCTGTGCCACCCCAGGATAACTGAAGCTGACGGACAATAGGTGAGGAGGAAGCATCCTATACTGTGAACTTATACCATATATGCCACTTTTAGGGCATTTAAAAAAACCACAATAGCTCATAAGCTATAGCAACAATATTTATTTCCAGTTCTGTCTAAAACTATGTAAAGTAAGCTGAGCTGCAGCCTGATGCAAGGCTGCACAATTATTCAGCATTTTAACTCAATAGCTGGAGAATTCTGAGAACTGGATTCAAAAAGCAAACTCCAATTATACTCAAATACTCTGCTAAACCTGCTTCACCCATCATGTTCCATTTTAGGGAATGTCCATATTGTCGGTGGCTACATCATTTTGTATAATTACTACATATCTTCTGTAACACAGTTAAAAATATTTTGTCAATATAAAGAGTCTGGTTGAGATTGAATTCTTTAGTTCTTAGGCTACTGGGATCTTGGCATTTAAATATTTTTTCAAATAAGAGAAGACAAAATCAATTAGATCATATAACATATTCAAATCACAGACTATTGGTACCTGCCATATTCGTCGTAAGTGACCACAAATGAAACTCAGGAGTCTAAGAAACCAGGTGCTTTTCAACACAATTTCAACTCTTACGTCACTTTGATGCACGTTACAGATTTCTACTAGTAGAGCTGAGCTGACCAGGGGTGTGAAGAAGAGCTATGCCAGCAAAGTTGTTGGCTGAACTGCAGCTTCCCTGGTAAATTCTCAGCTTTGCACGTAGACTTTGATTTCAGCTCACAGACATTACATCACAGTCATCCACATTGAAAGAGATGTGCTAATAGATTAGGACTGCTGCTGTCAGTATAGACTACAGTATAAGAAAAGTTTTTTTTTTTAACCTAAGAATCTAATCAGTGGGAAGCAGTTAAGCAACAAACCTCCTTTTCCACCACAAAGTCTTGGCTCCAGACTATAAACGGCTCCATTCTGCAGTACATCTTCATCATTAACCAGTCGCCCGTTACATTTCACATACAAGCTTTCTTCGGGAATATGCTAAAAAACAGCAAAATTGAGTCACGTGATCGACTGAGAATGAAGCATTCCGAGAAAGTAAATCATTAAGAAATAACGGTTCCTTCCTTCCTGTAGGAACAGAGAGGAAGCAAAAATCAGACAATCTTAAAAGCACAAACATTCTCTATGGTGCTTGTTTTAATTCCCGTTTCCTCAAGGATTAAACACGGTCTAAATCAGCTTGTAAACACGAATGGGGAAAAGCCGCGCTAGGGGAAAA